TTTGCCTTGTGGCTTTGTGACCTTACTGAAATCCACAGGAGAAATTAGGGGAAAAATAAACAACTTAGTGTTATGCTGTCAGTGGATGTGTGCAGCCTTTTAATGAAAAAGTGGTTTCTGGGGTCATTTTTGGCTCTGATTTCTTTGGTAGCTTTGCTGGTGTTAGGGGACACAAAACTGGGCTCTGAGAACTCTGTCCTTGGTAACGTGGAGTTAGCAGGGACAAGGGGGATGGATGGAGCAGGGTGGGAGGGAATGTTTTAGGGGATGCTTGACCTCAGTGACTGCAGAAGGAGGGAAGGTCTGGATGGGAGAAACAGGTGAAGAAGGGAGGAGTGAGAGAGGGAAAGAGAATGGCAGGATTTTTAGCTGAGCCTTAATTTGGTTCCTTAAGCTGTTTGCAGCAGTGATGACAGTCTCAAAATTACATGTGATTTTTCCCCAAACCCTTTTCTCATTCCAGGGGTGATTTATCCCAAGTATATGGCCCCAACCTCATCAACTGAGCTGATGCTTAATCCTGGCTTTTTATACAGAATTATTATTTTCCTGGTGTCCTTTCGCCCCGGGGTTTGTGTCTGGGAGAAAGAGCAGCCTGCATTATCAACGTGATGAGTTCATCTTGGTAATGTGGGCTGAGAGGCAGGAGAGCAATATCCCAATTTCCATCTGGAGACCTAAACAGCCATTTCAATTCCAAGGTGGCAAGAAGTCAGCTCATTCTAGAAGTGTGATGAGGGCCATCAAGGAGTGAATTTAAATCCTCCCCATCAAATTTCCATGCAAAAATGCTGCTGTGGTCCTACAGGCTGTGATTTCATTACCCTGAGGGGAGCACAAGTGTACACTGTCCCTTTTTCCAAGGCATTTCCTATTTGCTTTTCCAGCAGGGGTTCCTCCCTTGCATGAGTGGCTCTGCTGCCTGCCAAGGGTCGGGAAAGTCTGTGTGTTGATTTTTCTTGGTCGTGCAGAAGAGCTGGCCTTGCATTCCAGGTGCCATTTGTCTGGGAGGTGAGGAATATTTCCAGCCTTGCTGGAAGGGTGGGAATGCAGGTTTCTCTTTCCAGTCTCAGGAGTCCACCTCTAGAAATAATTGCTGCCCGAGTTTTGATTCTGTCCACGTGTCCAAATTCAAATTTAGAGGGGGAGAATATGCAGGACAAGCTCATCCATGTCCAGCTCTGTATTTTTTTACCTCTGTGTATAAAATAACCCCCCAAAATCAAAAGTTTTTAAAAACTCTTGATCAAAACATGTTCTCTAAAGGTCATAACCTGCAGTATTACCTGCCAGCAGTAAATTTGAAGCATTTTCCTGTGTCAGCACTCACCCACCACGATTTGCCATGAAGCAGCTGTTTGTGTTGCCCCGTGTTAATGTGCAGACTTCGAAGTAAATAGTCTGGAGCCACTAGGAATGATGCTGAGAGTTTTCCCACAGCAAAAAGAGGTTTATGAGTTTCAGAAAGCCCTTGTGCTGTTTCCATCATGGCCTCAAACACTTTTTTCTTATTTAATGATATATAAAAATGCCAGGGGGTTCATCTAAAATTACTTATTTCGCATCCACGTTATAAAAGTGGCTTTAAAAACCCTTGAATGCCTCCATTTTCCCCCCAAGCCCATGTTTCATGGCATGGGCTACCTCTTTTTCCCTTAAAGGGCTTTTGAAGAATTGGGCTGAGAGGCTGCATTTTTAGATGTGACTCTGGAACCCTTTTTATTTCTTTATTCCAGTTTTATTTCAGATTTCTTAACGTGAGGCACCACCACGAGTCATCATGAAATCTCTACATACGTGGCTTAGTTCTTTAATTTATATCTTAAAAAAAAAAAGGGGAGGAAAATTAAAAATCTCCCTGTTTTCAGAGCCTGCAATTCAGCATTTTAGTAACCACAACAGGCTGGTTTGCATTGGCATTTCTAAAGGGTTTTCCCTTCTCTCTCTTGTGTGATAAACTAATAGAAAGCATCTGCTATAAATGCCTTAGTCAGCAAGTCTTGGTATGCATTTCCCTGGATTTTCCCCAGCCCTGCTCAGGAAGAAGGTGTAGCAATCCATGCCTGGTAATCCTGCAGGTTCTGCCAGGCCAGGCAAATAGGAATTCTTTCCCTTCTTTGCAGTGAAGCATGAAATAAACCCATTAATAAATGTCTTTTTAAAATGTTTTCCATAACTGAAGGTGGGCAGTTGGGACTGAAAGAGAATTGCTTTGCCTCAAGGTGACTTCCCTCAACATTCCTGGGTTTGTATTTGCTTACACAGTGTTGGTCACCTGGCAGTGTTTCCGTTCCAAAGGAACAGGCTGACTGTGATGACTGAGTTTGTCAGTGAAAGTCGGTTGTGCTTCAGCTACAATCACTTGCTAATTTACACAATTGCTCTCTGGTCCTGGTGAAATCCTCACGATCTTGCATGCACGTGGAGATGTATTTTGTTGTCCTTTTGGAAGGCGTAAGTCGCTGTCAAGTGGTCACGTGAGGCTGGTAAATTCCTGAAGGTTTGGTTCGTGGAAGTACACAGGTGATGCAGAAGCATAAGGAATAAACCTGCCCCAAGTGTGCTCTCCCTCCAGATCAAGTGTCTGTCAGCTCACAGAGGCTTCCCAAGAATGTGTTTTCTTCCCAAAGTGGCAAATTAAACGCTGCTCGTTAAGCGGTTTCTGAAATGCCAGATGAGGTGGATCGGTCAGGATTGAGCAGCTCAGGCTTTTCTAGACCTGTGTTAGGGATGGGAACACCAGCACTGTGTGTCTGTCTCTGCCTCTGCAGAGGAGGGATCCCTTCCTTGGCAAAAACACATCTTTTGATTTCAGATTTCCATAGTTAAATCTGGCAGCCCCTGGTGGTCTAGTGGTAAGGGCGCCGCGCTATCACCGCGGAGACCCGGGTTCGATTCCCGGTCAGGGCCACTCCCGGGCAGATGGAGCTCGTTAGCCCTTAAAAAGGCAACCCATCTACGTCCTAAGGACCTCGCTGCCACCGTCCAAGCTCGCTTGGCCCCGGCAGATGAACCTTAGGATTAAAGGGTGGGCTCAGTTCCGCGCACACTGTGTCTCACCTAAAAAATCCAATGCGCAGGCTGGAAGGTGGAAAGACCTTCCCCGGATCTTCGCTTGCGAAGACTGGCCATTATTATATTTATAGTTAAATCTATCGACGTTTCACTTTTCACTCAGCCCGAGGGAAACAATTGTAAAATCAAAAATAAGGGTGGTATTTGGCCAGGAATGGAAGAACTGGTGGTTTGGTTTTTTTTTCCCCACAAATCCTTTGCTTCCTGGGAGCTGTACCACGTGCTTGGCTCGAGGGAGGCTCCAGCCCTCCAGATCAGTTTTGGGGTGGAATATGTGAAGTTTGTGATGTATCTCTGGATGCTTTGCAGGCAGCCTGAACACAGAACAACTCTGGGGAGTTGCCTGCATTCAACACTCCATTTATTCCTCTGCCACACGGGTTTGGGGGAGCCTGGTCACTCTGTTGATCTGTTCAACCCATGTTCTGCTGCTGGGCTTGCAGCCTGATTTGCAAAGGGCAAACCAAGCGTTATATTTTGAATCTGTTTTTTTGTTATATTTGGAATCTGTTTTTCTTTTTATCTGTCGATTTGAGGGGGGGTTTGCTCGCCTGTGTGCTTGTTAAATGCTTGGTTAAAAAATACATCATAATTGTAAACTGTTTCCTGTGGCTTGCTCACTTGTGAATGCTCGGGTTGGAATGTTTTTTTGGACATGCTGAAGGATCTTAACTGGTTACTCTGGTTTTGGGAATGGATTTAATGGGAGGGGTTTGACTGATTTAACGGAGGAGCCCTTTGAGAATCACCTTGTGCTCAGATGCAAGAGAGTGAACATTACTTGTCTCTAGAAAAGGATGCAGGTTTGGAAAGGGAACCTTTCTGGCTGAAAGGGACAATGCTGGAAGCAAAGGGGGATGTGCAAAAGAATCTCAAGGTCTGTACACAGTGATTTTAGGTGTTAGTGAGGGCTGACTTTGGGTCAGTCACCTTGGAACTTTGAGGAATCACAACAGTGCTTTGTGCAGTAGGTAGATTGATTTATTTTCTATTATTTTTCCTGGAGGTTCTGTGTAATTCTGTGGAATAGAATGTTTCATGGTGGGGAACAACCCCTGGGAAGGATGCTTTCAGCCTTTCCCATAGTGAGGTGGGCTTCCCACAAAGCTCATGGAAAGCAATCAAACACAGCTTCTCAGTGAGCCAGAGGAGGAGATGCTTGTTTAATATAAATAAATACCATTTTGTGCTTTGTTTGCTCAAAGTAAGATGCAAATGGGTAAATGCTTGTCCCTCCCATCTGTCTTTATATTTCAGGGAGCCACTGACTTAAATATGCTCTTTTATTGTTAGTCTATGGATGTGCTTTTCTCTTGGGAGGAATATTTTGAGGCTATGAATTTTAAGTGCAGAAAAGAAACCCCTAAAAATTAATACCCCAACCTTTGGAACTTTTTTTTCTCGTGGGATCCTTGGAGCAGGATGCAAATAGGCAGTTTATGATAAATGCTGCTCAAGAGGGGCAGTCAGAAGGAGAGGCAATAAATCACACGAGCAGGGGAGGTGCAATTGCAGGAAACTCCTTTTTTTCCTCCACAAACCCTCCCTCTGGTTTAAAGCTAAAACCAGGCGTTGTTAATTTGTTCTCCGCATCGGCGAGGATGGATCCACGTGTTTCGGCTCCACCTCAATGGGAAGAGAAGCAAAAACGTATTTTGAGTAAATGGTAACTTCAGCCTGGTTACCACCCCATAAGCATAAGAAGCATCAAATGGATGACATTACCATGCTGTCTGCTGTTAGTGATTCACCTCTTATTAAATTCCTGGCTCTCTCCAGATGGTAAAGGCAGAGTTGCTGGGAATAATTTCATGTGATCAGTAGACCTGAACTGTTTTTCCCTGGAAACTGGTTGTGGGTTTTTTTTTTTTTTTTTGTCATCTGTATGATTGTTTTTGTCTCTTTTCTTGTGGTTTCCGAGCCAGATACGGGTTAAATTTTCATCTAAATTATTAGCTGAGCTCATCCCCACTCTGCAGCCACACACAATGGTGAGTTCTCTCTCAAAAAACAAACAAACAAACAAAACAAGAAAAACCTGAGGTGGATGAGAGACATCACCTGCAGACAGTGGGGCTGACCCTTGCTGGGATATCTCCGTAGGCTTCCGGCCACAGCAACCACCTGGTTGCCTCCAAACTTTCTTGCTCTTGGCAAACCTAACCGTTGGACTTGATGTGATGTTTTGCCTGCTTGTTTTATTGTTGGTTAACCAGTTTTCTTTCCTTTGTCTTGTATATGGTGGGATCTCCGCTAGACAGAGGTAACGGTGGGGGACAGTCGTGTAGCTGGACCCTCGTGTGGTGGTGTTTGTCGGTGGTTTTTTCCTCAAGCTGTTTCTAAATTCAGCCTTGCTTTTCACCATGCCTGTGTGCTTGCATGGCCTGGTTTTCCGTGGAATAACCTCAACCACCCCTACTCTCCTTGTTAATAATTTAATTCCCCTCCCCGTGTGCGTGTGCCTCCTCCTGCTGTGTTCTTGAAGTGGGTCACCAGTGTGGATTCCCTAACAGTTGGATGGATCCTTTTCAGCCTTTGAAGGTCCTACTGATCAAAGGGACTCAGATCTTTGGCTTAAGTAAGATGTCATGAGGTGGTAATTGAAAAACAACTGGAGCAAGAGGGAGGTTGAGATGGGTTTCAGTCCCCATCCTCCTTGTGAGGTTGTACCCACGCTCCTGAGTTGTGTGTTGCTGAGAACTACATGGTTTTGATAACTTAAAACATACTTTATGTTTGTGTCAAATAGTTCTTTCTTGGCTACTGCTGCAGCAGAGCCCAACTAAAAAGCTGTTAGTGAAATATCATCGCCTTACTGAAGCCTATATTAAAAAATTCTGATTTTCATAACACAAATCTCAAAAGATTCTGATCATTGTAAGCCAAATGGCCATAGTTTTATTTATCTGTATGCCACCTGGGCTAAAGCAACTGAACAATCCCGTGCAATTCCTTATCCCTCATCTGAGGTGGGGAAGCACTGATCTTTCCGGAGCTTTTCTGTCAGATTTGAAGGCTGGAAAAGGTCCACTGGATATGAATAGAGATAGTAGGGGTGTGTGTCCGTGGAGTGGCTTGTTGGTGGTAAGGATACAAAGAAAACCTTCCATTTCCCCATTTAATTGATTCCTTTCTTCTCTCTTTTTTGGGGTGTGCTCGGGTGAACAAATAGAAGCTGTCCCAGGAGCGGGAGAAGTTTGCTGACGAGGACAGCATATTTTATGCCCTTGGAGAATGTGGACTCATCTCTTTCTCCGACTACATCTTCCTCACCACGGTCCTTTCCAGTAAGTACTGGGGATTTTCCCTGCAATTGCTGCTTTTTTAGGTTTTGAAGGCTCACAAGCAAGTGTGTTTGCTCTTGTTGTCTCCGTGCATTTCCCTAAAAGGCATCTCTGATTGCCTGCAACTCGAGCTGAGAAATTGCTGTCGCTTCATCTGCTTTAGGCTGAGCTTCAGGTGCTTCAGGAAGACGAGCAGATGGATAACTTCTGGAGATTTATTTCCCTTTTTGAAATGTGACAGATTCTTTTCGAATGAGTCATTTGACCTACTGGTCAGAACTGTAAATGGAGACGTGTTCTCAGGCTGTGTTCATATGACATTCCTGTGTCTGGGTGGACGTTGCTTTCCAGCCCTTCGCTGGTCTCACGCCTGCCCCAAACTCCCTTTTCCACTTCTATTTCCACTTGGGTGAGCTCAGGCTTGCGTGTAATGTAACCCAATGAGGAGAGACGTTAAGCTGTTTACATTTCCACAAGTATCACAGATACCTTCTGTCTTTTCACCCCGCTGCTCTTGACTTGCATTTGTGATATTCCTGTGATCTGCTAATCTGTTCCAGCAAAGTCTTCTGCGCTCCGAGTGCTGGCACTTAAAAGTTTGCTTTGTTGGCAAGAACCGGTGAAACTGAAGCCTTTGGTAATGTCAAATGGCATTTCTAGACTTTCTTCACGTGGAAATCAAGCTCAAAAGCTCATTTGCACAGCTCCTCTGGCTGCCTGGAAGGTGCTGTGTCATAAACACGAAAGTCCACAGCAATTTTTCAACCCCGTTAGAAAATGGGGGGTAATGGGGGCAGTGTCTGAATGAACTTGAGGCATTTTATTTTCAGGCTAAATCTTTTTAAGTATCCATTTCATGGTGACCTGATCTGTGGAATTAAAAAGCTGGACAACCCCCAGTATCCTGCAGACCCCTGTGCTGTTCAGGAGTCAGCTGGGTTAATCACCCATGTTTTATCAAAGCAGCAGGGGCTGTATTTTCTCTCCATGTTCTTCCATGTTGTAATATGAAGACATGAGAGGCAGCTCTTATTTACTGAGGATCTGTTCCCGGGGAGAAGAAACGCTCAAGGTCTTGTTTGTTTTCAGATGGATGTGGTGGGGGAAGACTTGTATGTGACCTTCACGTTGTGAAAACAAACACTGAGAGATAAAGCCGATTCAAACCAGGGAATTTGTTTTATGACTTTAATCTGCTTTTATTATTTGACTGAGGCTCAGAACCGGCTCGCAGGGCCTTTGCTGTTCCTTTGTTACATTCCTCTTGCCTGTGCCAAAATGATCTCCAGGTATTTACCTGTGTAGAGGGGCTTTTCATTGGAGTCTCCACAGATGACAAAGAGCTCTAAAACCTCTGGTATCGCATTACTGGATGTGGTTTAGACAACACTCTTGCCCTTGTTTTTATGGCTGTGCTGGCGGTGAACAACCCCCTAATCAAAATTAATTTCATGTGCTTCCACAGGCAGCAGTAAAGAAAAACTGTTCTTGGTTTGGTGTAATTTCTTTGTTGTGAGAATAAAAGAAAAGGACCAGCATGTGTTGGAGGAACAGCCAGCCTTGTTTTGGAGGGCTGTGCAGGAGGAGCAGGGTTTTTTTTTTTTTTTTTTTCCTCTTGTTCTTGGGCTTTTAAACGTGTTCACAATTACTGGGGAGTTAGTCAGACTAACAAGAGGAGACAGAACTGGGTGGTGTGTGCTTTGAGGAGCTGTGTGAAGGGTGGGCAAGGCAGGAGCTTTCAAAAAGGAAAATTAAAAAAAAATTTAAAAAAAAGAGAGAGACAAGGTAAAAAAGCATTCCAGGGCTTTTAGGCCGAGTTTTAGGTATTTGGGGAGTTTGCTGAATAGTTACTGAAGATAGAGGAGTGTCTCTGGAGCTACAATGATTCCCCAGAGAAAGAGTTTTGGTTTCATTTGTAAAGCCTTTGCTTTTATAAAGATAAAACTCCTAAACAAACCTTCCCCTGTGGCTAAATAGAAAGTTCTCTGTTACACCATGCTGGTTCCAGCTACTAAACATAACCTTGCAGGAATCCAGCAGTTTCTGACTGTTTTTTTCCCCTGGGAAATAAATAAAATAGCATGAGGAAGGTAAGTCTTAAACCAGACAATTCAATATTGGTTTTCCCTCTGCATTTTTTTTAAATAACCCAAACATTAAGGAGATATCTGGACAGGAGAGACATCAAATAGATAAAACCCACTAAATACTTGGAAGGGTTATCCTTCACACTTCCTTCAGATGTCACGGGAGAGTGAAGATCTGGCTTCCCTGACCAAAGATGGTTTTTGCTTTTGGACTTGCAGAGCAAGTGGAGGAAGGAGGGAAAGAGCTTTTCCATCATCAGCAACTACAATTTCCAAGCAAATGGGATCTGTTACCCAGGCACTCTAATGTCAGCTTTATTAACAGGTACTGAAGGGAGCTGGGCATTAACAGAATGAATTGGTGTTGTTTCCACAGTTGGACTGCCTCTGTGTCTGGATTTAATACTCCTGGCAGGAGGGTTAAATAACACTGGCTGAAGCCACAGTAATTACTCCCTTACCAGGGCTCTCGTAGCAAACCTGCAGCTCCTTCTCCCATCTCCTGCTGGCGTTCTTTTTAGACTACAACAAGCTCCATCCCTTAGGATGGCTTCACCTGTGTTATTTTTTTATTTTCCCCTGTGTAGGAAATAAATCCCAAACCGGCTGACTCTGGAATTACGTTCTGGCCAGATCCCGAGTGCTGTGTGTGTCCCAGTGATGGAGGGGGCAGGGAATGTTCTCCCACACTGCTGCACACAGGTGACCCGATAGCCAGGGCCTGTTCTGAACAGGTATTCCTGGCTGACAGGAATGTCTTCAGCCCCCATCCCTGCCACAAGTGAGATCTGTTATCTCTGTGATCTTATCAGTGATGCCTTAATGCTGCTTTGCCCTGTGCCACAGGGCTCCTGTCCACAAGAAATGGGGGTAAAAGGTTGCTTTGAGTCCACAGGACTGTTTTGTTTGTGGTCCTGGTCATGTTGACTTTATCTTTAGTCTTTCAAGACCCTCTGTTTGCCTTCTGTGGGTCCATCTCACCCACACTTTGGTGCAGGGGTGTCTTCATACCTTTCTGCCAGCCCAGTTGCTGCAGTGTGGTGTTTCCCAGATGCATCTGAGCAGCACAGAGATCCTTTTCCAAGGGATATTCCAGCTTCCAAACATAAACCTGGTTGCTTCCTGTCAGAGCAAGAGCTCTCTGGCCCAGCATCCCAACTTCTGTGGGAGTGGTGGCCGTGATGAAGGACAGGACAGGGATGGATTTCTCACAGTTTGGCGTCTTTCCAGGCAGAGCTTGGCCCCTCTAATTTAAAAACTGCCGCTGGGGCATGGGATGCTCTCCTAGCCTCTCATGCAGTCTTCCCATAGTCTTTCTCACTTCATCTCTTCGTGGTTTTGCGTGCTGGGATGAGCTGATGGATCTCCACCAAGCTCTGTGTCACAGAGGGTGGTGAATTCCCTACTACTCTGCATGCACCACTTGTCAGCCTCGTTGAGAAGTTCCAGAAACCCACTTACTTCTGCAGAATTAGGAGATGGAGTGATTTTGTGCTGCTCACAGCAATATCCCCGAATAACAGAGATCAAAGGAAGGGACAGAGAATTCTGCTGCAAGACATCACAGGCTCTTAACTTGCGTGCAGCCACGTGCTGCGTGAGCTGCAGCAGGAGCCGGAGGGAAAGACTCGTTGAGAGGTGTCTCCAAGTGTGGAATGTGGAGTCTGGGGAGAAGAGAAGATCAAATGAGTGCAAAACCAGAAAAAAAAACATGGCCTTTCTCATCGGCAAGCTTTGAATGTCTTTCAGAACACATTGCTGCTGGTGAGAGCACAGGGCAGTAAAGAGCAATTGAGTGCTGCAAATTGGTCCTTTGAATAATTGGAAGTAGTTTAAAATGGCATAATTGGCTTAAAGATGCCTAATCAACCCATTTAATCCCTCAGAGGCTCCCCCAGGGCTTTGCACTGATGGATGGGAGTGGGTTTTTTTCAATGTGGTCAGAGCTGCTGCTCCTCATCTGTTTGTCTGGTGGAAGTTGCTCATCTTCATAACATTCCCATGTGTGGCTTTTGCTTTTCTTGCTGCCTTTCTGTGCCAAATATTTGATTTGAGTAGATGAATCAAGAAAAATGTCAGTTGCCTTTGCACTAACTCCTGGGTCAGTTGAAAGAGCAGCTTGGGGTGTAGAGCTGGTGGAGTTATGGATCTGCAGGATCATTTCACTCTGATCTTTCTAGGCATGGTTCCATGTGCCTCCAAGGTAGGAATAGGTAACTCATGAATTGAGAGGAGTGTGGGCTCCAGCACCACAGTTCCACTCACGTTGGTCTGGTGAAAGGTGTCCCTGTCCCTGGTGGGAGGGTTGGAACTGGATTATCTTCAAGGTCCCTTCCAACCCAAACCGTTCTGGGGTTCCACGTAAACGATTTGGAGGAATCACTCGGAAGTATCACCATCTCCTCCCTCGTTGCAGGAGGAATATTGCACTCATTTGGAGCAATCTTAATTAAGGGGGCAGCGGGGAAATTTAGGGAAACTGCAGTTGGGAAGAGTAAAATTGGGGGGCAGAATAAAGGGGGATTAAAGGTTACATTTGGCTGAGCAAACTGGGATCTGCTGCTTTAATGGTCTGTGAGTTTGAGAGCTGTCAGTGCAGGAGGAGGAAGAGAAATGGAGGTTGGGCAGGCTGAGGTAATGGGGACCAGTAAGGGACAGGCTGGGCACAGAGTCAGTCTTCCCAATAAATCCTGGCCAGAAGCATCACAGCCAAGAGGATGGGCAGGAATTATCTCACCCAGGACCCATAAATCCAATCCTGGAGATCAGGGAGGTGCATCTTAATGAACATTCCTTCCTGAGCAGGAGCAGGGTGAGCTAATTGTTTTCAGTGCCCTCTGGTTCCCCTGGCTCAGGTTCACACTGTTTGGATTGAAGTGCCATCCCAAGGAATTGGAGAGGGATACTTAAATCAAAGGAAGAAACCGCCTGTGTCGCTTATTAGCTCAAGGAGTGAGGTAATTAAATTTGCCAATGGAAAGCCACATCGCTTCCCTGTCCTTAGAAAATACTGAGCCTGCAGATTTTTGGTGCTGAACTGTTCATTTCAATCTTGCAAGTGTTGTTCTTTGATAAACCACTCCTGGAAATGTGTATTTAGAGATGTAAAAGAAGGAAATGGCCCTTGAGAGGGGTAAGTAAAGTGTTTTGCTTTCTCTGTTCATCCCCTGTCTGCACAAATGGGATGTGCAATTTTTTTATATTCTGTGTTTTATATTACATTATCCATATTATGTTTTCTTAAAAAAAGGCAGGGGAACTCAAAGACCAGTTTTTAACAAGGAGTAACAAATTTTCCAATCTCAAAATAAACCTGGCAGAGCAAATGGGGGAAGAAGGATGGGATGTGTCGATTGCTCTCTTTCTGGTTATCTTGTAATTAGATTAGGGTTTTGCATATTCCTCCTCTTCCTCATAGAGGAAATATCTTTCCATGCAGTGCTAGACAGAGGAAATTGCCTCCAGGCTTTCATGCAGCCCTTGCAATTAAAGTGAATGTGTTTCATTTAAATATTAAGACAGCAGTTGGAAGCTTGTTGCTCCTCGAGAAAACGGGGGATTCATCACTGGAAGTGCTGGATGGATAGAGAGGAGGTTTTTGTACAAATCCCCTAAAATAGATGTATCATTGGAGAGATTATGAAGGCGGTGTTGGGGACAGGGGGACCAGCTGTCCCCAGCTCAATTAACACTGGATTAACGAGGGAGGGCAAGCAAAGGTCTCCCATCCCAGCAGCAGGATGGAGGAGCTGCTGGAGGGCCCTGCAGGGATGTGGGTGGAAGGAGAGGGGGAGTGATTGACCCACCACGTGCTGCTGGTTACAGGAGACCTTGTTTATGCACGTGGTGGTTGGAATTCGGGGCTGGCAGGGGGAAATCGGGAATGCAGGGACGAACGGCGGGACCGTGTGTGCTGTGTATATCAAGTGGGTAGTGACAGGCTGTGTTCCTGCCATCAGCTTTAATGTCATTGTACATCTGTTTCGGGCACAAAGTTGTTTGGGAAAAGGGATCTCATTAGCATGTTTGTTGAATCTTTTCGTGATGAAGTGCTGCCAGTAATTACAGCGTGTAAAAGTCTCCTGGCCTTGAGTCGGAGCTGCAACTAAAGTAAAAAATCCACTTCAGGTCGTTCCATATTAATTTCCTTTTGTCTGAGTGATTCCTTTTTACCTTCCCCCTTACCAAGGAGATGCCTTGCCACAGAAGGGTGGTTGCAGAAACTCAGTGTTTTTTGAGCATCCAAAAGAAATATTCCAAGCTGATTGCACAGATGAGGTTAAAGAGGGGTGAGCCTCACCAGTGATCTACATCCTGCTGCCAGATTTGGGTGGGGAGCGAATAAAGGGGCTAAATTTTAACTGAACATTTCAGATGACAGCCCAAGCACTAGTTATAGCCTAGAGGATTCCCTAGAAATCCCAGCAAGCACCAAAATTCCTGTAGGTGGTGTGCATTAGAAAGTAGCAGAGAAAGACAAATTCTCATCTATTTGCTTAATGTGGAAAAAAATTGTGGCACTGTGTTGTAGCTTCAAATGGTGATGGGTTGCAGAGCCCAAAATGGAAAGGTACTAAAATCCTGTGGTAGGATGCAGGGGAAAGAGCGTGGTTTGTTGGGATGGGTGGCTGGGAAGTGATGCCTTGGCAGAGTTCTGCCTAAATAAACCATGACAGCACAGACTAAATGCAATGAAAAATAATGTGCAGCGGCGTCTCAGCTGGTGAGCTCCAGCCCACATGTTGTCTCAGTGTCATAACTGCACTGAGACAGGGTGGGAATCATTTGTTTAAATTTGTGCAGTGAGACAAGAGCTGAGTCTGGAGGAGAAATACCCAAATTCCAGGCCTGCCCCTCACCCACCGACTGCTTCACGGAGCACACGGAGTGCTCTGCGGCACCTGGGGAACCTCCTCTGGCCAAACTGGTGCTATTGCCATTAGAAATTGTCATTGGAAATATCAAATAGTGTCTTGCTTTCAAGCTTTTTCCACCTCTGCATGGAATAAACATTGTTCAAGAAACTTCTCATCCCAGCTCCTTGTCTCGAGGTTCCCAAGAGCTGCATTTTCTTACTAAAATTGCAAGCATTAGGGAAAATTTCTTTTGGATAAAGTCTTCCAGAACTTGTGCCTTTTTTGTGGAGCTTTTGTGTCTCTGTTAACTGTTCTTTTATTGTGTTTGTGGTTTTTTTTTAATGTAGCTCCCCAGAGGAATTTTGAAATCGCCTTTAAGATGTTTGATCTGAACGGTGACGGCGAGGTGGACATGGAAGAGTTTGAGCAGGCAAGTTGAACTAAAGGTTGATTTCTTAACTCTGCAGCATCTCAGTCAGAAGTGCAGTGCTCCTCTGTGATGTTACTGTGGTTTATATTTGTGGTTAGTGCTGGTTTATGTCTTTTCCTCCTGTGCTCTGCTGCGTTGCCTCAGTACGCTTGTGGGGTGTTTTTTTAACTGGATATTTCAGGGCAGAATTTTTCATTCAACCAGGACAAGCATTTCAGATTTCCTGTGACTTTGTCACCAGTGTTCAAGGCCAGGTTGGATGGGATTGAAGCAGCCTGGTCTCTAGTGGAAGGTGTCCCTGCCCACGGCAGAGGGTTGGAACAAGATGGGCTTTTAAAGTCCCTTCCAACCCAAACCACTCTGTGATTCTATAACAATTCTTTAGAAGATGTCACCTCCAAAGTAGATAAAGAACTTTTTTTCACTCCACTGATGCCATGGAATTTTGATCCTGCTTCCTTCCACAGCTTCTACTGTGTTCCTTAATCTTACTTGTCTTCAGAGAATATCCAAGGTGAGTCTGCTTTAGGAGAATTTATCCACTTACTCCAACATAATCTAAAAAAGTGTCATTGAGAGCATATTTTCATTAGTCCCCTACTTCTCAAAAGACTTCATCAGCGGGGATTTGGATGCTGGCTTTTTAATGAGCTCAGCCTTCATGTCTGGTGTTGGTGAGCTCCTCCTACGAGCTGTGGCTTGTGGTTGTGTCCGAGTGAGAACTCGAGCTGTCAGAGGGGAAAAGATCTGCCCTCCCCAGGCAGGGCTGGGTGATTTTCCTTGCCGTTGTAGAAAACAATCTTGAGGTTCTGGGAATTCACAAGCACCCTGAAATCACAGCATGTTAGCAAAGCTCCCTGCATGTGCTGCTCATGAAAGGAAATTTAAGTGCCTTTTGCAAACTGATACCTGGGACCAAAGCAGCCCCGAATAATCCAGTCAGAGATTCTTCCCAGTTATTCAATGACCAGTTCACTTCAAAAGAGTCTCTACGAGGTCATGCTTGTGGCACTTGCTATAAATGGGAGGAACTAGTGGCAGAGGAGGCCTGTTAAATTAATTCCCCCCTTTTGATCTTTTGCTGTCATGCTCCTGAAATTATTACCTGTGGGGATGATGTCATCGTCACGAGTTTGCTGCAGAGCCAGGGAATAGGTCCGGGTAGCTGCAGGGATTTAGGTGAACACTTAGCACTGTGAGGAGAATGGAGCATGTTTATCTGCAATCTAATACCCCTTCGCTTGACAGCTTGAAATGTAAACCCAGGGGTTTGTTCATCTTCCTTCCTTCCCTTTCTTTCCCAAAGTGAAAAACACTGGTTTTCCTTCTGTCTGTGTAGTGCACTCCACTGCAGCTCTCTGATCATCTTTAACGATTCCAAACGTGTTTTGTGGCACTTAAAATGTTCCAGGATTAAATCAGTTATGGCGATCCGTGAGTTTAGGAAAAGCAGAGAAGGATTAACCTCCTACTAAAGATGCAGTGACACCAAGGTGCCAATACAGGTGTCGTGTTTGGCTTTTTTATTAGCCACGTAAAGTGAAAAAGAACGTTTCTAGAGGATGAACCTTTCCAAAAGTGCCACGCAGATGAAGGTACAAAATTGAATTAAATGATTTCAAGTCATCCAGTAGGCCAAGGGAAGTTATACATGCATTAAGTCATACAAAAACCCTTAGGAAGGGGAAGGTATTTTTGTTAAGCTTGTTACATGTGTCACTGCCTCTATAGGAAGGAATAAAGTTCCTGGTTAGAACACCAGAGTATTTTGGTGAAGGCTGATCTTTCCAGAGCTTGGGAGTCAGAGGATGAGGGAGCTGTTTTGGAAAGTGAGAGAAGCTGACAGTTCTGGTGATGTCTGAGGATATTGATTGGCTGCACTTCCCAAACAGAACTAAAACAAACACACAGTCAGTGGGAGGCACATAGACCACACTGTGCACGTATATAATGTAACAAACAGTCATTTGTGTGATAAATACTCTTGTTCTCTCCGTGTGCAAGTGCCTCAGTAAGGGCATGAAGGGTGTGGCGGGGTCCTGTAAACATCCCACCTGGAAGGAGCATCTGGAACTGGCCCTTCCAGGGGATTGTGCTGCTGGAGGTGACACCAGTTTAAAAGAGCAGTGTCTTTTGGGGAAGAATGAGGAGAAAAGGAAGAGGAAGAAAAATATCATCCCTCCTGCTGGCTGCGAGCACGTGGGGAGGAACTTCTGGCTCCTCCTTCACAGGTCATCTTTGGAGATAGCCAACAGCAGGTCCTTCCCCTCATTAATGTCTGAAAACCCTAGGAGTGTTCAGGAAAAAAGATTGCTTCACTAATTTAGCTAATATGTGAGTTGGAGGCTTTAACTACTTAATAAAAAATATTGAATTTCTTCAGGCTTGCTGAAAAGCCTCAGATTTTCTTCCCCAGCTGATTCATGTGGTTAGTGCACAGCACTGAATAATGTGGTGCCTGCATCAGTATCAGCTCCAACTCTTCATCCTTCAGCATGTAAACTGTGAGTTTACTCCTCTTTTTAATTAAAAAGTTGGGTGAAAAGTAATGAACTCGCAGGCAGTGTTACTGGTGATTTCTCTTCAAACCATTAACTATTTTAATCGATTTTTTTTTTTTTTTTTTTACTTTTTTCCCCTTCATCTGGTGCAAAAGATGAAACATCACAAACACTTAGGCTGAAATATGAACAAAAGCAGTGGAGCATCTCAGTGCTCCACATCCTGGTACAATTGATGAGCTGTGGGCGAGGACAGCTCTTTGCTTTCTGGGCATTGGAAAGATCACTCAAAACAGGGACCAGTCAAATAATTTTGGCTCCAGTGCCCACAGGTGGATTCTCAAACTGTTCCGCCGCTCATTATAGATGGGAGAGGAGAAGAGAGCTGTGGGGTGCCACATAAATAACAGCCAGGAAAAGCTGCTCTGTGGAGCAGTCTGCAGTGTGCTAAACACTTGTGTAGAGACTGGGACAGCTTTCCAAACTGGTCATAAAAACTGCATTGCATCAGACAGTTTATAAATATTTGTCTCCGGAATGCGCCGCGTGCAGAGCTCGCGGTGGAAGCGGAGCACAGCAAAGTGAGGAGCTGCTGTTTACAGTGCAAAAATCACGGAGTCCCAGAATGGTTTGGGATGGGAGGGACCTTAAAGCTCATCTCATTCCACCAGCCCAGGTTGCTCCAAGCCCCGTCCAACCTGGCCTTGGACACTTCCAGGGATGGGGCAGCCACAGCTCTGCTGGGCAACCTGTGCCAGGGCCTCCCCACCCTTACAGCCAAGAATTCCTTCCCAATATCCCCCATCTATCCCTACCCTCTGGCAGTTTGAACCCATTCCCCTTTTTCCTGTCACTCCAGACCCTTGTAAATAGTCCTTCTCCATGTTTATTGTAGGCTCTCTTCAGGTACTGGAAGGCCACAATTAGGTCACCCCACATCCCTCCTCACATCACAGGGCATATTTAAAAAAAAAAAATCCAAAACCAAAAAAACCCCAAAACCTTTTTCATGTATTTTTTTTCTCCCCTCTTTATTTTCTCCTCATTTTAATTTTCCCTGTAATGGAAGAACAGCCAGCAGTGCCTGTTTGGAGGCAGCATTTCAGCTGAGGTGATCCCGGCAGCGATAACGCGGCATTTTCCTCTGGAGCATCCCCTGTGGGATTGTTCCAGCGCTTTCTCCCTCGTTAGGAAAAAACTGAACACGCCAAATACCACACTAATGAGGTTCTAGCATCCTTTTAACAGCTGGAACTCTTGGCAGCTGTTTTTCTTCCTCCCTTCCAACTTCTGTCGGCGGGAGGAAGAGGCTGAAGGCAAAGCAGTGGTGTTTGCTGGAGCTTTGGGAAGCCTGTGCTGTCAGGTGGCTTTTTTTCCCCCTCCCTTCTTTCTCACACTCATTATCTTTAACACAAATCCTTCTGTATTTGTTGGAAAGGATCAATTTCTACACAGAAAGCAAGCCTGGCTTCTCATACCCCAGCAATAATCATTCAGATGGGCAGGTGCTGGGAAGGTTTAGGAGGATATTTGAGGGATGGAGAGAGCAGGTGAGTGTGTATTTGGGTTGGCTGCCCCCTTGAATTAGCACAGGACCCTAAAAATAATGAACTCTGGGATTTTTCAGGCTGTCACATCCTTCAAGATCAACCTTTTGGCATGCTTTAGGGGGTGGGAAAGTTTTTTGGAGAGCCCTTTGCTCTGGGTGGGACAGCCCCAGGGATGGAGGAGCTTCCAGAGCAACAGGCAGCAAGGAGGGATAGAAAACCCCTGGATTTGTGCACAAGTGGAAAAGAAACGTGGTGTGAGCTCACAAAGGTGTGCAGTAAAGGAGTGGAAGCTCCAAAACACTGTGCAGGGTGTTTTCTTCCTCACAACTGCCATGGCTTTTTCACCTCCCGCAGCTTTACCGGGAACAAGCTGCTCTCTGCTTGACCAGGCACAGGATCAGCACTGGAATGTTCATATGCAAACTGGGTGAATTGTTTCTTAAAACTGACTTTAAGGATTTCCCTGTCATCCCCAGGTGCAGAGCATCATTCGCTCCCAGACCAGCATGGGGATGCGCCACAGGGACCGCTCCACCACGGGGAACACCCTCAAAACCGGCTTCAACTCCGCCCTCACCACCTACTTCTTCGGGGCAGACCTGAAGGGCAAGCTCACCATCTCCCACTTCCTGGAATTCCAGCGCAAGCTGCAGCACGACATCCTCAAGCTGGAGGTTTGGGCTGTTTCTGTGCTGCGGGAGCAAGGGCTCAGAGGGAATTTGTGCTCCTGGATCGAAGCTGCCCCCAGGGAATGTCTCCAGCATTTGTAGGTTGCTGGGGTTGGAGCAGTGTCTGGCGTGTCCTGGGGTGTGTCCCTCCACGTGGTCCTCGCCTGGCTGTTGCCTTGGCACTGCTGATGGGGATGATGGAGGTGATTTAAGGAAAAACAGTAGAGTGCTGTGAGTGGCCTTGTGGAGGAAGGTTTCTGGTAGTCCCTAATCAGTGAGCTGTGCCCTGAAGGACCAGGGTTTAAAACCTTCCCCAAACTCTTCATCTCTGCTTTTGTCCCCACTTTTTGTTTGCCTCTTTATCCTGAGTATTTTTGCTGTGTTCAAGCCTTGTTTGAATCCTGCTAACAAGGTGTTCTCTGTGATGTGACCTCTGTGGTTCACTCCTGGATTAATATGTTTTATGAGAAATGTTGTCCATCTCTCTTGAGTTTTTTACCTTTCAATTGCATTGAAATTCTCTTTTTTCTTGGTATCACTGTGAGTTAACAGCAGCTCCTGACCTCCTGCTCCTAATCACATTACCTGGATTCAAGCATCAGGCCTCAAAATGTGGTTCTTTTGTATAAAATGAGCACAAGAACAGCCATGGGGGACCTGCTGGTCTGTGTCCCAGCTCCCAAGTGGAGCTGACTCAGTTAGAAATGGTGCCCATCACTGCATCAGGCTCAAAGGTTCGACCTGGCTCGAGCAAAGCCAGGCTTGTTATTTGCAGTGGAGATGAGGATTTGTGCACAAGAAGATCCCCCACAACAATAACCTTTTAGGACAACAATATTCAGAACTCTGCTGCTTCAGTCTGGTGTCTGATTGTTCACATGCTCAGGGTGTGTGATCCAGCATTTTAGTAAGTTCTTATTAAGTCAGTCTTATGATTTTAAACTGAATTTATTCCCTTTTTTTATTTGCAGTTTTAAAATTCTAAGTAAAAAAAAAAAGTACCCGAGAACTACTTTGTTTTTTATTATTCTATTTTATGAAGGTAATTGCTCAGTTCACTGACTTCATTTTGTGGTCATTAAAGCAGGTGGTGTGGGGGAAAGCAGTGCTGGTTGAAGACAAGGTTCTTTGTGAGCTGGGAAGTGTCAGTTCCTCGGTGCCTCTGCAAATTGAAACCACTAAAATACTTTTGAAGTTTAAGAAGCATAAGCTGCAACTTGAATGCAAAGGGAAAAGAAATAAGAGATTATTCTGTCCTTTTTTTCCCCACTGCCATGTTCACTCCAGAGGTGGGCACTGGAGTATTCCTGACCCTCTGCTCCATCCACAGGTCCCCAGTTATCTCATTAAGAAGCAACAGGGATTTTTTTTTCAGTTTCATAGCACTTGTTCTTCTTTTCCTCCCGTGCCAGTTTAGTTTTTAATGATTTCACTCGACTGTGTGTCTTCCTGGCGAATGTGTGTTGCCTTTCTAATGAGTTGGTTGTTAATTGGGGACAGTAAAAGATATCTATGCCTCGGCAGGTTATTGAATATTATAAAGGCAGTGCTACTGAAGCCCTGACAGCCCCCTTGGGCGCAGCACCGTGCTGTGCTTAGCGTTTCTGAGCCTCATTTCAGCTGGAACATTCACCTGTGCAGGGGGAAGGGTTCTGTCCTGCCAAACTTAATTTTTTTTCCTGAGTTCATGACACTAAAGCACCCAATTTTTCTGCTCGTAGCTCTGGTGGATTTAGGCACTGCAGGCCTATTTCTGTCCTCAGCATTATGCAGTGGGGCTTCTCTTTGGCTTTTATCTCTTCTGACATGATCTCCCACCTTCCTGTTTGATGTGTTTGTTCCCAGTTAAGCAGCTTTTCACACGAGTGTCTGGTGGGTTTGTGCTGCTCCTTTTCCTAATGAACTCAGCCACTTAAAAAAGCGGGATAATTCAGGGATGAGATGTACCTTGAGGAGAGAAGGATTTACCTTGACCCATGCAGATGAGGGAGAACGTGAGAAGTGCTGCTCAGCTGAACTCCTGCACCCCTCATCTGACTCCTCCTTTGCTAGCTTGGTACAATTGGAACGTGTTCTGAAACTGGGATGTTAATTTGAAACCCAGCTTTTTGTTCGTGTTCAGAGTCTGAAACTCCAGGAAGGTCTCTGGGGAAATGCAGGTCTGAAAAATCTCTCCAGGGGCTGCTGCAGCCCCCCAGTGACATGAAACCTCTGCTCTCAAACTGGGACACTGACTTCCTCTCTCCTAAAAGAAATCTACTTTAAGCAAGCCCTTTTTTAAAGCTCTTCTCCCTTCAGCTCAGGATCCAGGCATTTCTGCAGTTAATACACTTGAGAGTTGGTTTCTTGAGCTGACTGAAGGTGGAACAATACTTTCTGACCATCTGAACCCACTTTCTTTCTTCTTACTGATTTTGGTTCTTTTTTTTTTTTCTTTTTTAATCAAAATATCCATGCATATTTCTTGCTAAGATTGAGCACAGACTATCTCAGGGGATTTAGATGAGACAAAGCCCTGAACATTTCAATGTTCCTTGTGGCTGAAGTGCTGACAGCAGGTTTAAGTAACCGTGGTCTGGTGTTTTCTTCTTCTCTTCTGCCTTTTTTTTTTTTTTTTTTTTGATGCAAGTGCTTTTTCCATCCTTTTATGGAAACTCAACAATCAACTCAGTTGCAGGAAGGGTAGGATGAGAAAAGTAACCACAGGCAGAGGTAGAGGAGAAGGTTTTAATGGCTTATTCCAACTTTTATTTTTTATTACAGGTTTGTCTGGGCAGATTCTGCAGCTCTAACATATCCCTTTAGGACAGAGAGGTTTTGGGGGGTTTTTTTATCTTTTTTGAGTGAAAACTCTGTGAGTTTGGAAAATGAATAAGACTTGACATCATTATTTATGCTATTTCTGCTTGTTAGTGCCTGTCCTAGATATTCCCATATCCTTGGTGGACCAGAAGGAGTCCCAGCCAGCCTGTGGGGACTTTCCAGCCTAAATTTTTCCATGGTTCTGGAAGTGCATGTAGAAAACACAAAGGCCTTTGTTCTCCACATCTCTCAGCCCTGCCAGGCAACCCAAAGCCTGCTGATAGCACTGATTGAATCACCAGAAAAGTCTTCCAAGCAAAGCAAAATGGGATTCTCTGAGAATATGGCAAAGGTGCAGCAACAGCATTCCTGTCATCTGGAAAACCCCTCATTTCCTGTGTCTGTTCTGTGACAGGTGGTGTGGGAGGAGCTTTTTTATCCTGGAAGTTCCTGTTTCTGTGGCTAATGCCGGTACAGTTGCTGCCTGGTTTGGTCTTTATGAAGAAGGGGGGCGATGGATGCTCTTCCATCTGCACGCACCTCCTTAGAAAGTCCTGAATCCCTTTGGATCTCAGCCCTGTCTTAACAAATATTCTGGTTTCAGAAGGCTTTTCTGGTGCTTTGCAGTCTGGTTTTAAGGTTTATTTTGAGTCTGTAAGTGCCTTTCTCTTCCAAGTCCCAGGGCTTGGTATCTGAGTAAACCTATACCAGGTGTTAAAAGCTGCTGTGTTGTTACCAGTTTAGTCAGGATTTTATTTTGGGGGAGGGGTCTGCCTTGTTTTTAACACAGGCAACAAAGTTTGCAGCAGTGAGTCACATATCTTTGTATCTGCTGCAATGATTTAGGTGAAAGACAAGAGTAACTTAAGTGAATTGTTTTGAGTGGCCTGAAAAATGAAGTCTGGCAGGGTCGGCTTGGCTGAGCTTTGTAAGGAAGGGCCCAAAACTCAGACTATTTGGAGGCCAAGTTGCTATCAAACTTACACAAGGTATTTTTATTTCATTTTAAGTCACTGCTGTGACAGTCATGGTTTGCTGAGTTGTCTCTCAGAGTTGTCCTTTACCTGCTGATCCCCTCACTGTCAGCATTACCCCTGGCCTGGCCACCGTGGGAGCAACGATGATGGGGGCTTAGTGCCAAGGAGAGGGGAGTTACCAGGAGACCCTGCAGACCTATGGCCTCCTTCTTCTGCATTTCATGGTTTGGAAGTTCTAGGGAATAGAAATGAGGCTGATGTCCCTGCCTTTGTGATAGACAGCCACGAAAGTGTTGTAGGTGACAGAATTTCGTGGGCATCTCCAGTTAAAAATGGGATCATCTGACCACCACGAGAAGTTTCGCATCGGCAAACTCTGCAGTTAAGGAGTCGCAACCCAGCATTTCCATGTGGAAGCTGGGAATTTCTAGGCAGGCAGTTGAAACGATTTGGACAGCTTGTCATGTTTTTGGTGGCATTCAGAGCTGGCAGCCTGCTTTTGTCTTGGCATGTGAGTGCAAAGTGTCACACGAAGCTTTCAGGTTGACCGCGCTGTCTCAGGGGCTCGGGGAGAAGCTGGCATTCAGTTTTTGTCCAATGTCAACCAAAGACTTGGGAGGAATTCAGAGTGGGACATCAGTATGGAAAAAAAAAAAAAATTGAAGATAGGGATAAGTTATGAGGCCATGGCATGTGCAGCTTAAAGGAAAGACAGAAGGGAGATATAACTGTCTCAGTAAACATGAGGAGTCACTGTGAAGGAGTCTGAGGCAAGTCATTTTCATCAATCAGGAACAGCAGAGCAGGCAATGAAATGCTTAAGTGTGCACCAGGGAAAGTTTAGTTTAGATCCCAGATAGGTTGAATTTCTGTCCCTTTTTCTGTTAAGCAGAGGGGGAATGGTGGCAGGTGGGGTGTTCACCACCATGGATGAGTTACTGGAAGCTGTGCTTGGTGCCTCAGTTGGAAGATGCCATAAACACTGTTCCTGACTAACTCCTCCCCCTTCAAAGTGGGACAATCATCTGCACCAGAGAAATCAAACCCTCCCAGTGCCTCACTCTGAAAGGGGGAGGAAGAGTCAGGTACCAGCTGTGGGGTGGTTTGGGGGGATCGTAAGACCATCTGCATGTCAGCCGTGAAATCACAGAACGTTCTGAGCTGAAAGGGACCCCCAAGGATCATCCAGTCCAACCCCTCGCCCTGCCCAGGACACCCCAACAATCC